AAACATTAAACGTAGCCGAAACATTATACTCACCTGGAAGATTTAGTTTGCAGGCATTGTCATTGATCCTTTCAAGGACTTGGAATGGACTATCTCCCCATGGCTGTAACTTTGACTTTTCCTCAAATGCACCCAAACCCAATCTCCTGATTCAAATGTAACGCACGTTCGTCCCTTGTTTGCTTGAGAGGTATAATACTCATTTTTCTTCTCAATTTGCAACCTTACCTTTTCATGAAGTGATTTCACCAAGTTGGCATTCTCCTTTCCATCTAAACTACTCATTTCATTCATAGGTAAAGGAATTAAATCCCAAGGTGTTAGTGGATTAAAACCATATACAATTTCAAAAGGCAAGTAAGAAGTAATAGAATGCGTAGCCCTGTTATATGTAAATTCTATAAATGGTAAACACTCATCCCAACTCTTCAAATTCTTATGAACTATTGTGCGTAATAGTGTATCAAAGTCCTATTAACTACATCAGTTTGTCCATCAGTTTGCGGGTGACAAGTAGTAGAAAACAATAGCTTGGTTCTTAACTTATTCCACAAAATTCTCCAAAAATGACTAGGGAATTTAACATCTATATCCGATACAATACTTCTAGGAATCCCGTGTAAGCACACTACTTTCTCAAAGAATAGATCTGCTATATTGGTAGCATCATCGGTTTTATGACATGGAATGAAATGTGTCATCTTACTAAATCTATCTACCACTACAACTATAAAATCCCTTCCTTTCTTAATCTTAGATAAACCCAACACAAAACCCATAGACACATCAACCCAAGGTTCACTAGGAACAGGTAATACTGTATATAAATTTTATGGTAAAACCTTAAATTTCGCCCTTTTACAAGTGGTGCATCTACTACAAACCCAATCCACGTCAACCTTCGTCTTAAGCCAATAAAAATGTTCACTTAGCATTTCTAAGTTCTTCTTCACCCCAAAATGACCCATTAGACCACCACTATATACCTCTCGTACTAATAATTCTCTATTGAACATTTAGGAACACATAGCTTATTTTCCCTAAATAAACACCCATCATGCCTAAAGAATCTATCCATAACACCCTTATTACATGATTCGTATATATTAGAAAAATATGGATAGTTAACATAAATGTCCTTAACATAATCAAATCTTAGCAATTTAGCACCTAAAGACGTTAGAAGTACGTACATCCTTGACAACGCATCCACTACTACATTTTCTTTACCTTGTTTATACCGGATAACATATGGAAATGTCTCGATGTACTCCATCTACCTTGCATGTCTCTTGTTTAGCTTGCCTTGACCTCTTAAGTACTTCAAGGACTCATAGTCGGTGTAAATCATGAACTCCTTTAGCCACAGGTAGTGCTGTTATGTCTCCAAAGCTCGAACAAATGAATACAACTCCTTATCATATGTAGAATAATTGAGAGTTGTTCCACTTATCTTTTCACTAAAGTAAGCTATTGGTCTTCGTTCCTGCATTAAGACAGCTCCAATACCTATTCCCAAGGCATCACACTCAATCTCATAAGTATTGTTAAAATTAGGTAATGATAAAACCAGGGGTGGGCAAAACCGGTTTGGGTAGATTTTTTTGTTGTTTTTATACTCGTTAGTTTGGTTGGTTGTGTAGGCAGATTGGGTTGGGTTGGGTTATGGGTTAACTCATGAAAATTGAATAAACCCGTCCAACCCAACCCAACTATATTTATGAACTTTACAAGTGTTATGATGATGCTTGGAAACTATTAGAATAATATTACAAGACTTGGATAGAATGCATTTTACGAAAAATAGTATAAGAAAATACACATTCAACACAAAAACATTTTAATTACCAAAAACATTTTTTGGTTTCATATAATTTAATATCAATCTGTCCATGTAACATTTTCGGGCATGAAGTGCCAAAATAATTCAGATTTTTTGTTCATTACAACGATGGAGACTAATATTATATAAGTCACGAGTCAATTATAAATTCGTCCAACCTGACTCGCCTACTTTAGTCTTTGTTGACAAGTTGTCCCAAACCGACAAACACAACTCAACCCGACTGATACTTGATTGGGTTGGGTTTCAACCTTTACACGGGTTAGGTTAGGTTAGGTTAAGTTAAATTATTATCAAACCGATCATGTTGGGTTGGGTTTGAGTTGAGGCAAAAATCGACCCAATCCAACCCATGCTCACCCCTGGATAAAACCAGTGAGGTACACAACATATCTTTAATAGTATTAAAAACATGTTCTTGTTCAACGTGCCAATGAAATCCTACACTTTTTTTTATAATCTCCATGAGTGGTGTGGCAAGTGTGCAAAGTCTTTGACAAAATGCCTATAAAAGCTAGCTAATCCATGAAAGCTTCTTACCTCGGTTATGCTTTTAGGTATTAGCCACTCATTGATAGCTTTGATTTTCTCCTTATCTACTTCAATACCCTTAGCACTAATGACATAATCAAGAAAAAAAAACTTTTTAAAAAGTGCAAAATGTGCACTTCATTTTGCACTTTTTAAAGTTAACATAAAGTTGTTCTTGTCTTACGACCACAAGCACACATTTCAAATGCCATATATGTTCATTTATATCCTTATTGTATACCAAAATATCATCAAAGTAAACTACTACGAATTTACCTATGAATGCACGTAAAATATGATTCATTAATATCATAAATGTGCTAGGTGTATTAGTAAGTCCAAATGGCATAACTAACCACTCATACAACTCATATTTAGTTTTAAAAGTGATTCCTTCCCTCATCCTAAATTGATGATAAACACTTTTTAAATCAATTTTACTAAATATGCATGATCCATGTAATTCATCTAGCATATCATCTAATCTAGCAATATGATGACGATACTTTACCATTATATTGTTGATGGCTCTGCAGTCGAGCACACATCCTCCAAGTTCCATATATTTTTGATACAAGTAGTACAGGCACAGAACATGGACTCATACTCTCCCTCCATACCCTTTACTCATCAAATCTTCCACTTGCATTTGAAGTTCCTTAGTCTCTTTAGGATTACTCCGATAAGTTGGCATGTTTGGAATGACAGCTCCAGGTACAAAATCAATTTGATGTTCAATGCCTCGAATGGATGGTAGCCCACTAGGCATGTCCTCCAGAAATACGTCTTCGAATTCCTGCAACAAAGAAGTAGCTAAACTAGGAATGGGTGTGTCAAGAGTCCTCAAGATTGAGGGATGACTCCTTATAAACCAACACGACCATAAGTCGGTTCTCAACTACTACCATATTCAACTCTCCATTTTGCAAAGAAATTTACTTTTGACTTTTCTCTCATCTCATAAGACTCTTTTACTTTTTTCTCTTGTGGCTCTATTCTTTTTTTCTCACTTTTAGCCACCTCACTATTTTCTCTCTTGCTCTCGTGTTGTGAAAGTTCAATATCACTCCCATTTTCTCTCAATCTTTTTTCCTTCTCACTTTTCAACTTGACTTGCAAGTGCTTCGAAAAATTAATTCGATCTCAATCAAGATTTTAACCCTTGCGGAGTCCAAACAATGAATTGAGTAAGCAAAGTGATCTAGGATGACTCAAGAACTAGAAATTTGAATTTGAATAAAACGCTATAGATGAATTTAAAAAAATAAAGAGGTATTTCTTGAATTCGGACTGGACACTTTCAAATTTGGGAATTTTTTTTTACTCAAAAATGAACTTGTATGTTGTTGGCAATTTTTTTCTGAATTTTTTTTAACTCAGAGAAAAAGGAAATTAACTAGGATATAATCTTGATTTTGGAGTCTTTCTCTAATACCAACTGATGCGAACCCACGTAGCAATAGTAGTTACGGAACCCATGACAAATTAGAACAACCCAAAAGAGTCAAGAATCAATGTTTGAAAAGCTCGACCCAATAAATTATTAAACCAAGTACCAAGACACGCTAGCCATATCCTGATCCGTGATCACAAAACTTATGAACTTTACTTAAATTTGTAAAACGCCACAAGAATTTAATTCTTGATAACTTCAAAATTAAAAAAATGAAGAACGAGAAAGAAGCAATTTAATCGTCAAAAATTACGACTATTATAGATAGATTGTTTTTACAATTAATTAATATTGCAATTGATTGCTATCATATTTAGTTGTTATTTTGGTTTTTATATAATGAGAGAATCTCTCACATAGAGAGACATCGAGTCTTTTATTGAGTATATTTGATAGTTTTACTAGGATGGCTCCTGCTCTTAAGTGTTCTACCAGGATGAATTCACTCTTATGAGTGGAAGCCCACCATCTAAGTCCATCATTCCTTCATTTATTGAGCTCAATCGGCTTCACCTCCCCTTGTTGCCATATATTTTAAAGTTATGCATCTCAGTAAAACCACAGTTCAGAAACAGATAATACATCGACACCTATAAAATTGTTGAGAACGTAGAAAACATAAAAATAAAACTATGATAGTCTAATGATGGTTTTACTAAAATTGTCATATCCTCGTAACCAAGCCCTAAACAACTCTCAGGGAATGCAGATCGTGTAACATGCACAAGCAACCAAGATGCAACTCTTTCGCTAAATTCCATAGTCATCAATAGTAATACATGGGAGTGCTTCAAAAGAAAAATCAAGTGCTATTACTAATTTACTAGCAAAAGCCAGCTTCTGAGCATTTGCCGCCCTCGCTTAAGTATTTATGACCTTTAATTAAAATAATCATTCATCTAACGTATGCCTGGTAGTAAATGATCTGAATGGAAGAAGAGAAAATGAGGCTAATCTTTAAAGTCTTAATTCAGATTCATGTTTTCCTAAAGACAAAATGGATAAACGTGTTCTACTAGACAGGGCCTGAGTTTATGCTTCTCTATCGTTGGTACAAAATATTAAATATACTTGAGATAATGTCCTACAAAACTAAATGCAAAGGTGGAAAAGTGCAACGAGCTGAATAGCATATAATTGCTTGTGTAAAGAAGTTTTAGTCAGTGTTCAGATTTACGGCGTGGCATTATTGAAGCTACCAATAATAAAACAAACTAATTTCTCTTCTTCAAAGTTGAAAAACTTGCTAATAGTTGTGAGACTACTAAAAGCATATCTAATTCCTTCAGAGTATACATTGGTAACCAAAGCCTAGAATAGCATCAAGCCAGGGATATGAAAGCAATATAAACATGCCAGCGTGTATTGCCAGTGCCACAAAACTTCTACAAATGTAAGCTCAGATGTCATCCAGCCATTAAAAAACCATCAGAAGCTTTACTAGAGCATCAAATAACTTCTCCTAAGAAGCATACCTTGTATGCCCAGTACAAGTATGAACTCTCGTTGTTGATTTCTTCACCCAATCGAGAAATCACTTTAGATGGAGTCCACAGTGTATTCTGGGAATTGGAAAACAGGGACAAGATAAAATTAGACACTCTTTCTACCTCCTGGGCATGATTGAGATCCCAAAAAGAAAAAGAGAAGTGGAAAAACAAATATAGACCAAGTAACGCATGGAAAGGAGAACAGGTTCAGAAAGCATACTGTAAATTACAAATATAGCCTAGTATTCTGTCAACATCCATCCTTAGTGAACACAAAAATATGAAAATGAGAAAACAAATTGAGACACTCCAGCCAGTGGACACCATGGACTTGAGAACCTCGTGATAGTCCACTCCCTTGTTGAAATCGTAGCCCTCGATTGTCGTGCAAATTCCGTCAAGCGAATTGGACTGCTTGAACACCGTGGATCGTATGGAGTCCAAGACACTGTCCTTCATGGCTTCTATCTGGTATTTGACGAATAGCAGTTAGGAGAAAATGGAGGTTTGCCTGAAAAATGATATTTTCGACGTTCTTCAGACGTAGTTTATGCTTTTTTGTTGGTCAATTTTTTTCTTAAACCCTTTTTCGTAACTTGCAGATTTCAACATCTTCCTCAATTCTTTGTATTAATTTGACTTAGATCCTGTTTCATCCCTTTTTTAATTTTATTTTTTTTTCAAATTTATTTCAATTATATATTTTAGATTTAAATATTTCATTAGTGTCTCAACTTATATTTCCATCACATATTATTCACTAATTTTTTACACATTGAACTCTATTCACTCATCATGTTTTCAGTTGCAACAGGAAACAGAAAGCCTGCAAGTTAAAACTTCAGAGAAGGATAGGGAATTAAAGGAGAAAGAGGATGAGCTCTCCACTGTACAGAAGCAATATGAAGATAGAGAGTGAAGCGTCTGCTCAAATCATGGCTTCAACTGCAGAAATAAAAAATTTCCAAGAGCAATTGGGTCTTTTGAGAGCACAGAAAAGTGGAGGAGATTCCATTCTTGAGAAAATAAGTAGAGAAATATCAGAATTTCTTATTCAGATAGGAAGACTAAAAGAGGAATTATCAAGCAAAACTATTGATGGACATAGAATACTGGAAGAAAAGAAGGTTTTGGAAAGAAATATTTCGGAATTGGAGAAAACACTAAAAGGGAGAGTCGATGAAGTCATTTCTGTCGAGAAAGAAGAATGAAGCGTCCACTGAAATTGCTGCATTAATAGAACAGGTTAACCATTTGCATCTGTAAATAGACTCACTGTAGTCAGGTAAAAGCCAGTTAAAGGTTATCGGAAAGAGGTAAACAAGAGTCTATGGAAAGTTTGGCTAGAGCAATTCAAGTGAAAAAATGATTCTTCTATGAGTAAAAGTGCTACAAAATTTATCATAAAGATTTCACAATTGCCAAATAATGCTGCCGAGTTAATTAAACGAGTGGTCACTGAATTTTAGTATTGGTTACCACTTGCTCACCGAAAAATAAATGATTACCGAATGCTCACTCAACTATTCATCAATTTACTCATCCAACATTAGAGCCAATTCCGTTTGTACAGTAGGACAATAAATTTCACGTGGAGATAAAAAATGATGTGGCTGATGAATCATTTCCACGTAATTTGTTATTTTCTAAGCCCCTGTTTTGTACACATTAAAATTTTCATTCTCATTCTTCTACTCATTTTCAACCACACATCTTTCAATAAAATATGGGTAATTGGCGCAAAACGTCCCTACCTTTGACGGGTTTTGTACAAAACGTCCTTACGTTTTATTTTTTGGCGCAGAATGTCCCTATCTTTCACATTTTTGGTGCAAAATGTCATTTTCCTCAATTTTTGATAATTTTACCCTTCTATTCAAATAAAACAAAAACAAAAGAAAAGAAAAATACATAATAAATTGCAATCTTACTCCTAAACTTTTCTAAAAATGCAAATGAGTCCAAAACTTATAAAAATATTAAATTTTACAATTAACACATTAAATTTAAATAAATAAACTAAAAACTCTCTCTCTCTCTTCCTCCCCAGCAACTATTCATCTCCTCCTTCACCCAAACCCACCCCAAACTAAAATCCAGAAATATACATCAACCATCCCACCCACGGCCACCACAACGCCGTTGCTGCCGCCGCCTTGCACCACCATATCCACCTCCGCCGCTGCCATGCTTCTCACAACCGGACCGAAATTTCCATCCAAAAACAGCAACTAGCACACCTGAAAATCAACGGCAACACCACCTCCGGCACTACCTACGGTTGGGCACCACCATCGGCGGGTTACCCTCATCCAGAAGATCCTAACCATGGCTTCAATTCAACTGATAATGCCCTTAATTGATCTACTACAACCCACGAAAATCCACCAGTTGCGTGGCCCAACCCGTCTCCATTGGCCTCCCAAGTTCCAGCACCAATGACAACACCCACCCATGCCAAACCAGATCAAGTCCCACCACAAAAGCATCCTCTTCATCTCATTTTAGCTCCGCACCTTCACTTCTAACTCCACATCGACACTGAAACTCCACCTCACTTCTAACCCGATCTGCCAGTCTCAAATCTGATCGACTGTGTACAAATCGACCACCATGAACATTATCTCAATAATAGCAGTGATTTTAGGTTCAATTTTGGAGAGAGCAGCAACGATTGAGGCGAACGGAGAGATAAATTTATAGGTTTGAATGTGATTTTTCATTTGCTACACGGTGGTGGAGATTTTGGGTTTTTTCATTTTGGGTTTGAATGTTCCATTTTTGGTTTACGGTGGTGGTGCCGACACATTGGCGGAAGTTGTGGTGGTGGTGATTTACAATGGTGGCGGAGGACGCCGGCACATTGGGGGCTGCAGCGGTGGTGCCGGTAGCCACTGTTGTTGGGGAGGAAGAGAGAGAGAGAGAGTTTTTGGTTTTTTTTTTCCTATTTATTTATTGAAATTTAATGTGTTAAGAGTAAAATTTAATATTTTTATAAGTTTTGGACTCATTTGTATTTTTTTAAAAGTCTAGGAGTAAGATTGTAATATATTATGTATTTTTCTTTTCTTTTGTTTTTGTTTTATTTAAATAGAAGGGTAAAATTGTCAAAAATTGAGGAAAACGACGTTTTGCACCAAAAATATGAAAGGTAGGGACGTTCTGCGCCAAAAAATGAAACATAAGGACGTTTTGCACAAAACCCGTCAAAGGTAGGGACGTTTTGCGCCAATTACCCATAAAATAATAATTTCCATCACATCAATAACTTTTCCTTCCTTTTCAACCACACATTTTCCATCAATCTACTATTTCAAAATACATTCTTCCAAAATAATGTGGATCAAACACACCCTAAATAGCCAAAATTGTATAATTTGAGATAACGTTTCTGGACGGATAAAATCGAAGTTCTCCTATCATAGAGATTGAAATATTCATCCCCAACTCACTTTCATCTCCAAATCACATCCTCAAACTAATTCAATCTATTGGCAATCCCAGCTTTGTAATCCATATCCAAGTTCTATATCTACGTCCCCTATGAATTAAAATTTTTAGTTGTGCACAGTTCATCCCATATCAGTGAGAACCCTAGATTTTGTGGGAGAAAAAGAGAATTCAACTTGGATTGGAAATCTTCAAGGCAAGAAATGGAAGTTGGCAAATTGCATAGTTCGAAAAGAGAAGTCTCTTTAAGATGCTGTGACAATCCTAGGCCATAAAGGGAAAGGAGGGTCTGGTAGCACTCACATTTTCCGACAGTGGGATCATCGGAAGTGGGATCAAATAAGGATTTGGAGGGACTTATTGGAATTCTCAGTACATAACCAAGATCCATGAGACATGTAGTTGAATTGGTGCTTGAAGTTGGAGAAGAAGAAACTGAAGAAATTAACACCAAAAGACAAAGAAATGGATAGAAAATTAAGAAACTAGGTTTCATTTTCATTTTGTTAGTTCAAAAACAAACAAATTCAGACTGAAAGATTCAAGAAACCATAAATGGAGAAAAAGCAGAATTCATTACTTTCTATCACAGATGGTTCCTAGAAGAGAAAATGGGTGGTGAATAAGATCAAATTTTGGAATGTAGGAGAAAATTTGGAAGGAAAAAGTAAAAAACATGTTTGCTAAATGGAACTAAAATTGCTATTTTACCCATTGCGTTTTTATCCACCGTGTATTGAACTAACACCATTATTGCCACGTCATTTTTTCATCCTCCAAGTGTAGTTTATTGTCCACATGTACAAATGGAATTGACCTTAGTGATGGATGAGTAAATTAATGAATAGTTGGGTGAGCATTCTGTAACCATTTATTTTTTGGTGAGCAAGTGGTAACCAATAGGAAAATTCAATAGCCAGTCATTTAATTCACCCTATTTTGAATTTTTGATGAAGTTCCCAAAATAACGTTCACAAATCACAAATAACTAATAACTAATAAGTATAACAAATATATTTCGAAATTGAAATTCCAGAATCAGATATTGATTGAACTTTAGGCAAAGCAAAGAAAAATTGACCTTTGGCTTTGGACGGACTGGTCTGGCAGTGGGCGGACTGGCGGCAGGAACGGACCCAGCTGAATTGATCAAGGCTGAATCGCAAGAACTTGAATTGAACAAGGTTGAATCGCAGGCAGTGGAAATGCAGGATGGCGGGTTTTTCGCAAAATGGTTTTTCAAATTCCAATGGCTCTTTAAATGGAGGACTTTGCAGAAGGCCGAAGGGGGAAACTGGAGTCTAATGTGATGTTTTGATTTTTGGAAAAGGTTCACCTACAACAATACCGTTAAAATTAAAAATTCTTTTAAAATTCATATGAAAAGTATTTTGAAAATAAAAAAATACTGTGTAAAATTAATTATAATTTTTTATTAGAAAGTGATACAACATCACTTTTTTCACTTTTTATTAAAAAAATGACGTACAATATCACTTTTTTTTTTAAAAAAAAGTTACATGTCACTTGTTCGTGCAAAACTTGCGAGCGTACGGAATCGTTGACAAGTAATAGAATTGATAAGTTGAGAGTAACATCTCATAGTGAATAAATTCAATTCAAGTTTACTAACTTTTTATAAATTCGAATTATGTAAATAAAAGAGAGTTTGATTTTATTTTATATTTAATTAATTTAAAAAAAACTGTAAGAATGTTATTTTTATCAATTTTTGGATGATTGTATTGAATCTCGAATCCGCCTATTGCTATCTATTTCAATTCTTGATTTAATCTAGTTCCGTTCATGCGTTCTGACAATCAATAAAATTATAATATATAATTTTCTTTTTCAAGACAAATTAAATATATTCTAACCACGACCCGAACTTATTCCTAACCTAAATTCGAATGATTAAATGCATTAAATTTAGATTATCTATATGATTGCACACATTTTAAATGTTATTCCTAGCATCTATTGCACATATGTCAGTTTTGCCGTGTTCTAAACTCATTGTGAGTTTTCCAATGCAACAACAAACAACTAATTATCTAATTGGTAACCAATCAATTAAAAAATGCAATGTGTATGCAAAATTAATCAAGAAACACAAGAATAAACTAAACCACTAGTTTTAAATTAAAACAAATAAACAATAGGGTTCATTTTCATCCAATACAAAAACGAATATAGCGTAACATGTTAATATATAAATTACAAAAAGAATAATAGAAAAATATCACCCGGATAATGAAATAAATCAAAAGATGTTGATCTTCAAGCATAATGTTGAATTCTTCAAAATCTTGATGAAATTGACTTTTAATTTCTTGCGACGACTTGATCTCCTCTCTCAAAATATAGCAATTAGCATCTTGTTCTTGATGAATTTGATGGAACTATTGTGTATGAAGAAGCAAGAGTCAATAGAGGTCTTTTCAATGTGTATCCATCGTTCTCTATTTATAAGAGCCAGAAAATAGTTCAAAATCGCGCCCAATTTGGTTTCCAAAAGAGTTTGAATCGTGAAAGGAAACTAAAGATTAGTCTGTAAAAAAGGCCTATGCGTGCGCACCAATATAACTATCGCGTGCGCGCCATAGAGCCAAATGACTCTCGGGTTGGGAAAAATAAGGTATCGCGCACGCGCCTTGAATTGCCCGCGTGCAAAAGTCGCTTCTATTCATCTTTAAGCAGCTCTCAGTATTGTAGTCATAACTTTCTTTAAATATATCCTGTTGAGGTGATTTAAAATGAGTTGGAAAGGTAATTCAAACTAATAAAATGCTTCTAGAAATACAATATTTCCAATTCGGAGTATAAAAATGAGTCTCAAGTTGAGGATAAAAATTCGGAGTATAACTTTTTCTGCTGGAAATTGATTTGTTAAAATACTTCCACTATATTTCACTCCTTTGACCTCCAAATGCATCCAATTGTTCATATATGATCTTCAATCGTCGTTTTGTGCTCCGAATCAACTATTTGATGTTTACACTTTCGGTCCCCAAACTTTGAATTTCCTTTGTTTTCACATATTTTTCGTTCATTTCTTTCAAATCCACCAATTTGCATTGAGTTCGACATAACAAGTAATTAATACAAAATTAAACTATAACTCATCCAAATCACTAACAAATACTCTAAGCCTAAATAAGTGTACAAAATACACTTATCATCACTCAAAAAATTTCAAGGTAACGAAAAAAATGTGAAAAATACTACGGAAAATTAAGTGACAAAATGTCATTTTTCTATAAAAAAGAAAATAAAAATAGAAGTGACGTAATGTCACTTTTCTAATTAATGTCATTTTTATTAAAAAAGTAACGTTTGTTACTTGAAAAGGTGACAGAAATTTCAAGAAAGTAACAAAAAATAAAAATAAAAAGTAACAAACATTAGAATAAAGTGACATGAAATTAAAAAAAAAAAAAAAATGTGACAGAAATTCAAAAGTTACAAACGCTTAAAAAAGTAACAAAAATTCAAAAAAAGTGACAAAACACAAATTAAAACATTGGAATCAGTTCAATAAAATGACAAGTAAAAAAGTGACACAATCACCATCCCTCATCTTTCTCCGTATACCGCCAAACATCTTTAAGTGAGCTCACTGACAAAACACTGATCAAAATGGTAAGTATCTTTAAGTCAATTCACTGTCACCGCAGCTAACTGTACAAGTAATGTTCATCAGCTCTACCAACTAAAGCAACAAAAGGTCGAATCCAGAAGTAATAGCTCTTAACCCGCAAACCAGAATTCAATTCCAAATTCTCAAGACTATTGCAAGGTTTGAGCAAATGCCTGGTATTTTCGTATGCCAGCATTACTCACACGGCAAACTTCATGGACTCCTCAAAATGTGCAGGCTTGATCTCAGACACTTCTGAGAAGACTCTAGAATGAGAGAAGAAAAGTGGCAGGAAAAATGATTTGTTATTCAACTGAATTGAGAAATGAAAAAATGACAGAACCATCATATATAT